TCTTCCTCTCCAGCCCTGACTACGCCTGTCTGTGTTCCTGCACATACTGTCATTAGTTGGAGGTTTGGGTTTTGTTTGTACTGTGCATTGTATACTCGTGTAGTTTTGAATAAATTATATTCTTATTATATCACTCATGAAGCCTGCGTTTCCCTGTGTCAGTCCACACATCTCTGGTCATACCTGGAGCCCTGACAGTCTCTGTTGTCTCTTGTATCATGTCCGCAGTCTCTGAACTTCCTGTATCCTGTCCGCAGTCTCTGACCATCTTTTTAAGTATGTCCGCAGTCTCCGATCGTCTCCAGTAGTATGTCCGCAGTCTCTGACCATCTCCTGTAGTATGTCCGCAGTCTCTGACCATCTCCTGTAGTATGTCCACAGTCTCTGACAATCTCCTGTATCATATCCGCAGTCTCAGATCAACTTCTGAGGTGGAGCTTTAATAGGAACCTATAGATTCTAAAGAGGAAAGAGCGGAGTTTACAGATGAAAGGGAAGATCTTAAACAGGAAGGGGTGGGACAAATTTAGTTGAGGTGTTAGCACCCAATTATAGCCTTGCTTAGGGCAGCACTAAACTAAAATATACCACTGGATAAGACCACTGTGGATGTCGGGCGGAGCCTCCCTCTGACTTCATCTTGCTGTCGGGCGGAGCCTCCCTCTGACGTCATTGTGCGGTCGGCCATCTTGGAAGCTTTTTATGAATGCTGATATTCCTCTGTATATTTGTAAGTAGGATTCTATTTCCACATGATACTAGTCCAACATCGCCAAGGGAATGGCTTATTGATTTAAGTGGATTCTGGGTCCTGGCATGACATGGAAGTCTGGATGATATTACATCAATACAAAGCTTATAATGACCCCTATAGTTAAGGGGTCCTATAGTTAAGGGGTCTCCTTATCTGATAAGCCTCCATTTCATTCACAGGGTGGTGGTCCGTTCACGTTGGCGATTAATTGGATGGAAAGAAGATTCGTTTTATTAATAGCGCATTAAGGAATGAAAGTTCTTTTTACAAATTATTTATGGAGGTTATTTTTCAAGTGGACTTTCATTATATTGTCCGTTATATGGACCGTATATGATATCACTTTTATACACCATTTCCTTTTTTTATTATTATTATTATACAGTATTTATACAGTTTATATTATTATTACAGTTTATATTATGTTTATAGTTGTTTAAACTAGTAATATGTGTATTTAACTGTATATATTTGTCACACATACACATTTGATTTCTATTTATTATAGGGGAGGATGTCCTCCTAAAGCAGTGGTTCTCAACCTGTGGGTCGTGACCCCTTTGGGGGTCGAACGACCCTTTCACAGGGGTCCCCTAAGACCATCAGAAAACACATATTTCCGATGTGTAAAGAGCAGCTACTGTGTAGAAAGCAGCTGCTGTGTTGAAAGCAGCTACTCTGTTAAAAGCAGCTACTGTGTTGAAAGCAGCAGTATTGGAGGTAAATCGACACTCATGAATTATAATTACTGGGTAAATAATTTTATGGTTGGGGGTCACCACAACATGAGGAACTGTAGTAAAGGGTCACGGCATTAGGAAGGTTGAGAACCACTGTCCTAAAGTGTTTGCAGTTTTTTTATATTGTAAAGTGGGGAATTTGCGCAATTACATTTATTTGTCATTGTGGATGATTAACACCACTCAGTATACAATTGACCAATGAGTGTGCAGGAGTGGGATCTCACCAACGGGTATTTGTGGTCAAATAGGAAGAATTCCCTACTTACAGATACCTAAAACCATCTTCGGGTTCAGTGGCTTCTGATCTGAGAGGCACAAATTGCTCATTGCCTAAGGAAGCCCTAGCACCTGCGGGGGAAACCCATGTTGAGAATGGCTGCCCTAGTTGAAATATTTAGGCCTCATGCATACTGAAAGTTTTTTTTTTTTTAAAACTCTCCTAGAAGCCTCTTCCTGGCGACAAAAGTCTGACGCTTGTGAAAGTGCTAACGCGTTTCACTGTTTTTACCTGCTTTAAGCATTTATTAAATTATTTTGCCAATGAAATGAATGAATGCATTCATTCATTTCATTGGCCAAAATAATTTATTCTGGCAATCAAAATTAATTTAGTGGAAAAGTATACCTTATGGTGCCGCTCCATGCTATGGATGGAAGGAGAAGAGTCACCCCACCGGCAAGTGAGAAGAGGGGAGCCTGAGTCCGAGCGATTCTAGTGTCAGCCGATACAAGTGAAGGTGGATGCTGCTCAGCCGGCCCCAGGAGTCAAGTATTGAGCAATGGCTTTCAGCGGCTGTTTTGGCCATGCCAGCTGACGCATTTCGCCCTGCCCACTGGGGCTTGGTCACATGAATGAAATGACGCTCAAGCGCTAAACACGCCTAGCGATAACGCACAATTACACATGTTTACATGCATTATAGCATATAAATAGTTTTTTCTGCTAAATGCCTCTGGCGGTAGGTTTTTTCTTCCTGCCTCAACTTTCCTGCCACTAAAAGTTTATGTGCGCATGGACACATAGGCAGGGGAATTTAGTGATCAGAAAAAAAAACGCCAGATGCAGGGGCGGACTGACAACTCATGGGGTCCCCGGCAATTGGGGATCATGGGGCCCCTGTGTCCTTGCCCAAACTCAAAAAAGCCTATGAAAAAGGTACCAGGGGCATCTCATGGGGTCCCCTACTGACCCCGGGCCCTCGGGCAGTGCCTGAGTTTCCAAATGGTCAGTCCGCCCCTGGTCAAATGGCTAGGAGCAGCTGTAAAAAATATCCAGCGTGCATGAGGCCTTACATGAACCCTTGCAATTCTCTTTATGCTACGTGATACTTATTTATCATAACATCATAACGTATCACTCCTTAGTTCTTAACCATTTCCATACCGGGCACTTTTACCCCCTTCCTGCCCAGGCCAATTTTCAGGTTTCAGCGCTCTCACATTTTGAATAACAATTGCGCGGTCATACAACATTGTACCCAAACTAAAATTTTATCATTTTCTTCACACAACTACAGTTTTATTTTGGTGGTATTTATTCACCGCTGGGGTTTTTAATTTTTTGCTAAAACAAAAAAAACCGAAAATTTTGAAAAAAAAACCACACGGTTTTTCTTTGTTTGTTATAAAAGTTTTCAAATAAATAATTGTTCTTCATAAATTTAGGCCGAGATGTATTCTGCTACATGTCTTTGGTGAAAATAACCCAAATCAGTATTTATTATTTAGTTTGTAGGAAAGTTATAGAGTTCACAAACTATGGTATAGATCTGAAAATTGATCAATCCGGAAGTACTGACAGCCAATCTAATTTCTGGAGGTCCAAGAATGTCAGAACAGTACAGATATCCCCCCAAATGTCAGGACAGGACAGATATCCCCCCAAATGTCAGGACAGGACAGATATCCCCCAAATGTCAGAACAGTACAGATATCCCCCAAATGTCAGAACAGTACAGATATCCCCCAAATGTCAGGACAGTACAGATATCCCCCAAATGTCAGAAAAGTACAGATATCCCCCAAATGTCAGGACAGTACAGATATCCCCCATAATGTCAGAACAGTACAGATATCCCCCAAATGTCAGAACAGGACAGATATCCCCCAAATGTCAGAACAGTACAGATATCCCCCAAATGTCAGAACAGTACAGATATCCCCCAAATGTCAGGACAGTACAGATATCCCCCAAATGTCAGAAAAGTACAGATATCCCCCAAATGTCAGGACAGTACAGATATCCCCAAATGTCAGAACAGTACAGATATCCCCCAAATGTCAGGACAGTACAGATATCCCCCAAATGTCAGGACAGTACAGATATCCCCCAAATGTCAGAACGGTACAGATATCCCCCAAATGTCAGGACAGTACAGATATCCCCCAAATGTCAGAACAGTACAGATATCCCCCAAAATGTCAGAACAGTACAGATATCCCCCAAATGTCAGGACAGGACAGATATCCCCCAAATGACAGAACAGTACAGACATCCCCAAATGTCAGGACATGGCAGATATCCCCCAATGTCAGGACAGGACAGATATTTTTGTCAGGACAGGACAGATATCCCCCAAATGTCAGGACGGTACAGATATCCCCAAATGTCAGAACGGTACAGATTTCCCCCAAATGTTAGGACAGTACAGATATCCCCCAAATGTCAGGACAGTACAGATATCCCCCAAATGTCAGCACAGTACAGATATCCCCCAAATGTCAGGACTTTTAATTTACAGTACTCTTTAGATATCCTCCAAATGACCACTTTTTGCAAAGTAGACAGTCCGACATATTTGATAACAGCCATGGCGAGTTTTTTAAAGTTGTAATTTTTTTTAATTTTTCGGAAAATTAAAAAAAAATAAAAAATGAAAAAAAAAAAAAAAGTTTTTTTTTTTTTTTTTACATACTGTCAACAGTGCAGTACAGCGTCATCATATAACTGGCATGGCGGTGATCAGGGACACTGAGGTGACAGTATGAAAAAAAAATTTTTTTTTTTATTATTTTTAATTTTTTATTACTTTATTTTTCATATTTCACTATTACCATAGTACAATGTTACCCTAGTAACATTGTACTACTTTGGGGAAGTGATCAGTATTTTTTTTTTTTTTTTTTTTTTTACACAATTTGCTTATAGGAAAGAATTACTTTGCTATAAGCAAGCATTTACCTGAATGACAGCGATTCATTCAGGGTTTTTTTTTTTGTGCTTAGCTGTGATTTGGCCACAGCTAAGCACCAGTAAAAGTGCTCTCTACATAGTTTTTTTTTTTTTTTTTTTAATTTTGAAGATATATTTTGGGTTTATTTTAGGCTTTCTGGTATTGTTTATATTAAAACGCAATGCATTGGTAATCACATCTGATTTCTTTATTAAAGTACAATTTTTTTAAAACTGCTTTTTTTTAAAAAAAAAAAAATACAATCACATTAATAATTGTATTTCTAAAGCAGACTTAGCATTCTTTTTTTGTATAATTGTGATCCTGATTTTAACAGCATTGGAATTTGACATCATTCAGGGCCGTGTCATCTCCACGTCCTTGGGGATCCTCCACTTTGGTCACGATGCCACAAATTCCCTTTTGGCAGGTGGCACTCGGCCTTCCATATGATCCCCATTTTCCGGCAGAACCTGGCAGGACAGTGAAATCGGAGCAATGGAACAAGACATTGTTGGCTGCTGTATCGTCACCGCTACCAAGGGGCTCCTCAACTTGCAGAACAAAGTAATCGAGATACCCTGAGGGGCACCACTGTACACCAGTCCAACTTCCCCACCTGTAGTGAAACAAATATATTTATATCATCTCATTGCTGATTTATGGAGATTACTTACTTTGCTCTGCAGCAATGCTAGGCAATTGGCTTTAGGTTAGATTTGGACTTTGACCATACACTTAGATGCTTTACAGCCACTGCTTGTGTAACCCATTGAAATGTTATTACTTACAATAAATGAAAATGGACATTAGATAGAGGTGGTCAGCCATTCAGGGTCACTCACAGGGACAGAACAGCCCTGTGGAACTTGTATGCTTGTAGCAGGACTGGTGAGCAGGGTGGTCAGGGACTACATTTCCCCGGAAGGGTAGTGTGTGGGTGGGGGCATATAAATATCAAAGCCCAGGAGAGCACAGGGAGAGACTGAAGGAGAAGGAAGTGTGCTGATGGCTAAAGTGCTGACGTAGGCCATAGAGCCAGGATTGGAGAGCGTAAGAGCAGAGCCTACTGACCACCTGGTCTGCCACGCTGACCAGCAGGCCAATCTGACAGCAGGAAACCATGGAAAGCCACGCCTGAACCAGAGAGTCTGGACCAGGGGTGGGCAAACTTTTTGACTTGAGGGCCGCAATGGGTTCATATATTGGACCCGGGGGCCGGACCAAGAGTAGATGAATGATGTGTATGTGTCATCCATAAGTAAGTATATAGTAATATTCCCCCATAGTAAGCATAGTAATTAATCCCCCATATAGTAATTCATCCCCCATAGTAATTCATCCCCCATATCCCCCATAATTCATCCCCCCATAGTAATTCATCCCCCATAGTAATTCATCCCCCATATAGTAATTCATCCCCCATATAGTAATTCATCCCCCATATAGTAATTCATCCCCATATAGTAATTCATCCCCCATAGTAATTCATCCCCCATATAGTAATTCATCCCCCATAAAGTCCCCAAGTCCCCCCCCGTGTCAATTTACTTACCTTTGCTCCGCCGTTCCTCTCGCCGTGTTCCCGCGCCGTTCCGGTCTTCAGGGCGGACTGTGAGAGGAGCCTAGCTCCCCTCACATTCGTCACGCTGCCCCGCCTACACACATCCTGACAGCCATCCTGACAGTATCACGCTCCGCGGGCCGGATTAAAAGGTCCGCCGGGCCGTAGTTTGCCCATTGCTGGTCTGGACTGACCCCATTTGCAGATGAAGATGGACTGCTGCGATCTGTTGGACTACAATGATCGGGCGAGAGAGAGACCCATACACCCAGGGGTGATTTACCACAAGGCAAACAAGGCATTTGCCTAGGATGGACTTTTTCAGGGGGGAAGAAGAGACGGAAGAAGGGACACATGTGGCATGGGGACCTGGTGAGTTCCAAGAGATGCTGTGGGTTTCATGACGGTGTATGAACAGCCCGACTCTCGTTGCTGGGGATGTCCGAAGCTGTGAAGATGAGTGTCTCTCTCGTCATGGGGGATGGTGGCTGGTGTATGGAGGGGCAGTGGTAGTGGAAGGCTTGGGTGGAGGGCAAGGGTGTTCTTGGTCAATATGGGGGGGGGGGGGGGGGATTTGTGTGTTGCCTAGGGCAGCTCAAACACTAAATACACCACTGCATACACCCACTAACCAAGTGAATACTGACAGTTTGCCACCTCATCTATCTACCTACACATAGTTGTTCCTGCTCACTGGGGTTTCAGCAGTCCCCTCAGATTGGAGGCAGTGGACTATTTCTGAAAGCAGGCCTGCCAACAGTTGTTGCTGCTTTACTGTGAAAGTCTTTTCTTTGGCTCACAAATACCGAGTGTTTATATTTGCTGCACATATCAGTGTCATTTTGTTCTTTTTGACCAACTTACCTCTAATCCCAATATTAACTTCATACTGGTTTATACTAACTTGTATGTGAATCCATATTACAGTTGTGATTTATTTTGGTCACGAGAGCACGGTGGTGGTGTCAGCAGAGATCGGGCTTTCCACAAGAAGTTCATATTGACAGGGAACCAAAAAAATACTAAGTAACCCTTAAAGGGGGTAGTGCTACACCTATATGAACCTTCCTTTCTGCTGTTCTCTGCTGCTTTGAAAAAGAGAACTCTGATGTAAACTTCAGGGCAATCTAAGAACTGCCCTGCATGGGAAGATCACAAGTCCTCTTTAAAAGACAACCTGACCTTTGGGGAAGCAGTCATTTAATGAATTCCCCCACCCACTTGGGAGCAGCTCACCTGGTAATGTACAAACATTCAACCCTAATCCAGTGATGTTCGCAGTGTGGCTTTAGCTGGCTCTTTTTCACACTATGCATCAGCCCTGAACCCCTACAGTATTCATTCTTACGGGGCAGTTGTGCTTTGCAGGACCATTGGAGGCCACCATCAATACAGCTATCCCATAGGAATGAATGAGGCTGATGCTCACATATGCAGCCACCCTGCTCTAAACAGGGCTACTGGTCAAATTTAGTTCTGCTGGGTGGTAGACAACCTAACTTATAGTCTACTTGTTCATTTGGTTTTCCCCTAGATTCAGTGAAGCTGTGATTTCTCCCAGTAGATGCCACTGGTACCTCTAGTATTAGTATAAGCAGCTACAGTAAAACTGACATGAATATTCATGCTTCCCCTAGCCAACCAGAAAGTTTCCCCACTGGTGCATGCTGAGGGAGAGCTTGATTAGGCCTGCAGCCTGAGGCCTACACAAGTGCTTGAGTTTCTGTAATCTGGGAGCCAGGCTGAGAACAGAGGAGGGAGGGGAGGAAGATCATTGCTCATAAAAAACAAAATGGCCAAAACCTTAACAAGATGGCTGTCACCTACAGCTTTCATATCCCTATTGTGTACAATTACACCTGGCTACCTTGCACCCCAGCTGAGTCCTTCCTTTCAGCATACAGGTTCCACAGGGATGTTCTATCCTTGTGAGTGACAGACCACCACCATCTAATGTCCATTTTAATGTATTGTACGTAATAACATTTCTATGGGTTACAGAGAAATGGGGCAGCTCAGCTCATCTTTAAACCTGAGTCACCTTCCTCGAATTAGGAGTCATAACCAGGGGCGGACTGACAACTCATGGGGCAATAGGAGATCATGGGGCCCCTTTGTCCTTGCCCAAACTCAAAAAAGCCTATGAAAAAAAAGGTACCAGGGGCATCTCATGGGGCCCCCTACTGACCCCCCCCCTCGGGCAGTGCCCGAGTTTCCATATGGTCAGTCCACCCCTGGTCATAACATATAATGGTGAGCCGTTTTCCATAGGTGGGGAGTTGGAATGCACAGAGTGTTTTTTTCAGCATGAGTGGTGGCAAAGCAAGGGTAAAAAAGGCTTTTATTACAAATGACACAATTATGTTTGTAACTTGTTGTATATTTCCAAAATACTTTATTTTTGAAAATATTAGGGTTCTGTATTCTTTAGGAAATCCTTGGGCATAGAATCAGTACTGCTAATGTTAACACCTGGGAGGTTGTCAAATGATAGACACTATGCATAGGGCACAGGACTGCCTAGTTTCCTATAGCCTCAACAATGTCATATGTCTGTTGTATATTCCTATCGGTAGCATTAGTGCTGCTCCAGGCAGTGTTAGCCATGGATCCAGGCTTACCAATGCTTTCACACTCCACCAAGAGGATCTATATTTTCAGGGACCTGGGAATGGCTCCAGCCTTACTCCTTGGAATGGGTCTCCTGCCTTGGCCAAACACAGTTGAAGGATCGCAATTTTCAGATTTTGTCTTTTAGATACTATCATGGTCGTATAGAACATTTGAAATGTGGACTTTCAATGTGAATAACTTAGGACTCTGATGTTCTAGGTACTCACAAAAAAGCTTAGAACTTTTATTCCAAGCTTTCAGAAGAAAATAAAGTGTGGCTTGGGCACTTCAAAAGGGAAAGTCCTTTAAAAACTGTATACCACAGTTCTTAAAGGAGAAACACCAGGAAACAGACTAGATTGTCCCACAGTGGAAGAAAAAGTCACTCTATCCTGTAGCCTCCCTAGCAGTCTGTGTGACGGGAGTGACTTTTGGGGGTGGGGGGACCACTTGGTCAGCTCATGTCCCCCTGATTATGTTTAACCCACCCTGGGCCTGTTAAGGGGTACAGTGTGTAAATGTGAATGTCCCAGTCTTGTGTATAGTGTGTGTTCCTTTGTCCCTGCCATGTGGTTGCCTATTGTTTTATGCCATGTGCTACCCCCCCATTGTTCTGTGTCTTGCCATGTGTTGCATTGTCTACTGCCATGTGGCTATTCCTTTGTTCTCAGCCACATGGCTGTCCATTGTTTGTTTGCCATGTGCTTCATCCCATTGTTCTGTGTCTTGGGTTGGTTGGGGTGGTTCCCTGTAGCTCTTCCCACTGATGGAGCGGGTTGATGATGTGTTTTACTGTTCCTGGTTGTGTTTCCCCCCCCTCTGTATATATCCTGTGTTTTGTGTTAAAATAAAGTGTTAAAATAAAATAGGAAGCCATCCATTGTATACAACTCATGTGCCCTGTTGTGATTGGTCACAGCAGGTCACTTGGTACTGGCAACAGAGCTGGTAAACCGATCTGTCATCGGCCGTGTCCGGGGTACACGGCCGGTGACAGATCACGTCACTGCACAGCTCTGCTGGCATGAAACTGTGCATGCCTGAAAGGACGCCATATGGCGTCCACCTGGAAGGATGAGGTTTTTTGGCAACAAACCATTCGGCCATAGGCCGGGTGGGAACTGGTTAAAAATGTTGAAGTTTTGGCAGGGAGTGATGCAAGTAGCTGGTCTTGCCTAAGGTGTTACATAGTCTAGCACCGGTCTTGCTCAGAAGTAGAAGTAGAGTGGCTTCCCTCTTTGCCTTCAGGCTGGACAAGGTTAATAGTACAGTGTAGTGTGCCATGAGGAACTGGTGGAGACAAGTCAGTTTTCTAGGCTACTTTTCTCAAAATGATTTTGTAGGGCTCTGGAGTATGGTATGGCCTCCAACCATTGAGTGTTGCTGACCCACACGGAACTAGTGTAAATTCCTAATGGCCTGTTGTTCCCCAGTAGCCTTTGGA